GTCATTCCTTGGAACCCTCGGACTTCCTTTCTGTTTGTCTGGGTCATCCGTCTGCCCATCGCTGGCCCCAGGCTTGCTCTCTGGCCCCAGCCGTCTCTCACTCTCTCTCTCTCTGCAGCTGTCTCTCTCGTGCCCGCTGGCCTGTCTCTCCTTCCCGGCAGTCGCCTCCTTCTCCGCCTGCCTGGGTGGCCGCCATGGGCCGGAAACGGCTCATCACTGACTCCTACCCTGTAGTGAAGAGGAGGGAGGGCTCCGCTGGGCACAGCAAGGGGGAGCTGGCACCAGAGCTAGGTCTCTGAGGTGTGGGAGGGCGGGAGGAGTGGATGTGAGGGACACGAAAGAACGTGGGCAATGGAAGGGGAAGTGAAGTATGTCCTCTGCTTCCTACACCAGACCTGGCAGTGGACAGCAGAGGCAAAGGGGCGGTGAGGGCTGGGGAACAGTGGGTCAGCTGTGAGGCAAGGGGCAGGGGACCAGCCCGGCAGGGCACAGGCTTGGGCAGGCCTGAGGAGCAGCATGTCATTGCAGGGGAAGAGCCCCAGCCCCTGAGCGTGGATGAAGCGGAGATGGAGCTGCTGAGGCAGTTTGACCTGGCCTGGCAGTATGGGCCCTGCACAGGTGAGAGCCCCCTCAGGCCCCGAGAGCACATCCCGGAGCCAGTCCTGCCACCCACTCGGCACCCAAGCAGCCCCAGCCCCTGCCTGACCCTCTCAGCACTGTGTCTGGAAACCAGGGGTGTGGAGGTCCTGACACACCCCTCCACCCACACTCTCTAGCCTGGACGCTTCCCTGCCCCCCACGAGGCCCCACTGTCTTCTTTCCACCCCCGCAGGGATCACACGGCTGCAACGCTGGCATCGCGCAGAGCAGATGGGCTTAGAGCCTCCCCAAGAAGTGTGGCAGGTGCTGCAGACCCACCCCGGTGATCCGCGCTTCCAGTGCAGGTCAGAGGCCGGTGGGGGGCTATCAGGGGAGCCAGGGACTTCTCCAGGCACCGCCTGGCCCTGGATGGGGGCCGTCCTGACCGGAGGAAGAAATAGGTGCAGCCTTGGGGGGTCCTCGCTGAGCAGGCAAGAAGGTTCTACAAGGTGCTGCGCTCAGGAGGCAGAAGCTTGCCTTAATACTTATCTCTGAGCTAATGGTGGAGGAAGGGTACACTAGGGCCCAAGGGACTATTTAATACTGAGAGGTTGGCCAAGGACCAGAGGCCGTGGCCAAGAGCTGGGGCTGGTGAGAGCCGATCAAGAGACTTAACTGATGCGGGTTTTTCCCTCCATCCCACACCCCCTCGCACAGCCTCTGGCATCTCTATCCCCTCTGAAGCACCACCTTAGACCTCCCGCCCACTACTTGAGGACCTCCAGACACAAGCTAGAACCAGTTGCTGCCCCTCGGCTCAGCTCTGCTGTGGAGAACATTTGGCAGGAAAGAGGTTCACAGTGAAGGGAAGAGGCTGAATGTGGAGGTCCGACCAGCAGGCTCCCAGTGCCCCCTCTGAGATCCGACACAGCCGAAGCCAAGCACCTCCTACGTGGAGAGTGGTTTCTGAGGACGAGGACCTGGCCATGACCCTTCTGAAGCTGCCACGTGCCTGACCTGAACACTGTGGTCCTTGGGATGATGTGGCAAATTAGGCACAGCTTTGGGAAGAACCAGACTCCGGCAGAAGGCAGAAGACCGAAGAGGCAAAGATGTACTCCGCACCTCAGGCTGGGAATCTGAGGGCAGAACTGGCTGAGCTTACGGGGCGAGGGGTTCACTAGTGCTTATCAATAAAGAACTCTGAGCCTGGGAGCCTGACCTCCAGTCTCGTAATGTGGCCCTGCTTGGACGGGCAGCACCCAGAAGGTTGATAGGTAGGAGAGAACTAGCACCATGCTTTCCTGCAAGGTGCGTGTGCCTCTTCCACTGCCTAACCCTAGACCTGAGAGGAAGGAAAGAGAGACACCTTAAAAAAAAAAAACCAACAGTCAGTCTTCACAAGCGCTGAGCAACCTCTGGCGCCCCCTGGTGGCGCACACTATTCTAGCCACCTTCCCTTACCAGCCAGGAAAACCCCACTGGAGCCACCACCTAGCCTGCCCAGGGCTGCCCACCTCACAAAAATGGGTTCTTTGTCAGAGCAGGATCCATGGGGCCCATGACTCATAAGGTTCAGACAGACATACACATACCCAGCAAGCACCTGTACTTTCCCACATGGGGGCCACCTGGATCCAAAGCAGGGTTGGGGGAGCGTTTCAACCTGCAGGACCTGCTCAAAGATGGCCATCATCTGAGGAGCTTTGTTAGGGAACTGGAAGGTCCTGGGGATGGAGGAGAACTGGCCGTATTCAGAAACAGCGCTTAGGGGACCCTGGGACATACGACGTGGAGAACGGAATCAGTACTCCTTTTAATGGTGTTACTTCATCTGATGCATCAGCCCTCCATCCTGGGGCAGGCAGAGACAGAACTATTAACTCCTTGGGAACAGGCCTAGAGGGCAATCAAGTGGCCTTTTTAGTCCCCATTTTACTGAGTACTGACCATGCCTCAAGTACTTTAAATGTATTATCCCTAAATTTCCTAAAAGTCCTTCATGGTAGGTTTTACAGAGAGGGAAACTGAAGCCTAGACGGTTGTCCAAAGTTGCCCAGAAGCGCCAGCAGCAGGTATGTGGTGGCGCAGAGACTGGGGCCGTGTGCACTGGGCTCTTCCCGTCTCCGCCGTGGCCCCTGCCCGGCTGCTGAGCACCTGCTGTGTGCTGGGCTCTAGAGCTCCTCTGGGCTGTTAGTGGTGAGGAGATGGACAACAACACACATGTAAATATGATGTCAGGCGGTGGTCAGTGCTGGGCAGAATTAGGGTGAGAGGTCAGAGAATGCCAAGGGTGCTGAAGAGGTTGGTCGGGGGAGGCTCTCCAACAGGGTGGCATCGGGCAGGCCGAAGGGACAACAAGCACACCCTCCCCAAGGCAGGCGTGTTTCCAGACTGGTCCAGGGGCAGCACGGAGGCCAGGGACCGGGCAGAGGGAGCGAGGAAGTGGGGGGGCAAATGAGGCCAGAGAGGTAGCAGGTTGGTCCCACAGGGCCTTGTGGACCGGGACGAGGAACCTGGATTTTATCCTGAGTGAGAGAGGAAGACACTGGTGGGGTGGGTCTTAAGCCAATAAATGACAATCAATCTTACGTCTTGAAAGCATTAGTCTGGCTGTTGGTAGAAAACAGACTGTGGGTTTGGGGGAAGAAGAGGCAATGAAACCACTCAGGAGGCTGCTGGAGTTGGCCTCGTGAGAGGTGATGGTGATTTAGCCCCGCGTGGGAGAGGGAGGTGGTAAGAAGCGGCCAGCTTCTTTTCTTTCTGTATTTTGAAGGGGAACTAACTGACAGGACTTGCTGATCAGTTGGCTGTGGGGTTTAAGAGAGAGAGGAGCCAAGGATAACTCCAAAGGTTTTGGCTTGAGCAACTGGAAGAACAGAGTTCCCATTACTAAGATGGGAAAGATTGCGGGAAGGGGAGGGTGGGGCAGGGAATTAGGAGTTCAGATTTGAGGTCTGTGGCGCACCCAAGCTGGGGAGCGGGCAGTGGACATGCGAGTCTGGAATTCTAGGGAGAGCTCTGGGTTTGAGGTATAAATTGGGGCATCTTTTAGGTGGCATTTAAAGCCGTGTGTGGGGATGAGATTACCTGAGTGAGTATAGTTAGAGGTGAGAAGTGGTCCAAGGACAGCGCTGAGGCTTCTATGCTTAGAGGCAAGGGAGGCCTGAGCAAGGAGACCGAGGAGGGGCCAGACTGGAGAGAAGTCAGGAGAGGGTAGGGCCTGGGAAGCCTGGGCAGAGGGTCAAAGTCTCAGATGCTTCTGAGAGGCTGGTAAAATGAAGCCTGAGAAGAAGAGCACACTGGACTCGGCAACGTGGCGGTCGCAGGAGACAAGCAGCTCCCACGGGGTGATGGGGATGGGACCAGGCCTGGAGTGGGCTCAGGGGGACGGGCAGGGGAAGTGGAAACGGGGAGCATGCTGATCCTTTCAGAGACCTTTTACTGTAAAGGGAGCAGAGAAACGAGTGGCCACTGGAGAGGGTGTGGGATCAAGGAACCGTTGTGATTTGTTGTTCTGTCTCGTCTTTTGCTTTAGCTAGAGTGACAGTACAGCATAACGACCCGGTGAGGAGAGTGACCCGACAGGGAGTCTTTGTGAAGTTGAGAAGGGCCAGGACTAGGACACAGGGAAGAGTGTGGACTTAGATCGGAGCATCCCCTGTGACAGGAAGGGAGGCAGAGGATATGCGAGTAGATGCAGGTAGGAGGACACGGTTTGGGGTGGGAACATTCAAGAATCAGATGCTTGCTGACAGCCTGGTACGCTGGGAGGGATCTGATGTTTAGTGAGCGCCAACCCACGCCATCTGCTGCACTTCACGCTGTCTAGTTGACTGCTCAGAACAATCCCATTAGGTGAGTATTATCCACTCTCACAGATAAGGAAACCGAGGCTGAGAGGGAAAGTGCCCTGCTTCATCCATGAGCACCGGGGCTCAATTCCCACCTGGGTCTGTCTTCCCACTGTGTTACCCCACACCTGCATTCCCACCCGCACCTGCACTCCAGGTGCTTAGGGTGGCATCGAAGAGATAAGACCCACCCATGTGGAAAGCTGCAAAACAATGTACTACAGGGGCTTCCCTGGTGGCACAGTGGTTGAGAGTCCGCCTGCCGATGCAGGGGACACAGGTTCATGCCCCGGTCCAGGAAGATCCCACATGCCGTGGAGTGGCTGGGCCCGTGAGCCATGGCCACTGAGCCTGCCCGTCCGGAGCCTGTGCTCCGCAACGGGAGAGGCCGCAGCGGTGAGAGGCCCGCGTACCACAAAAAAAAAAAAAAATGTACTACAAGTGCTACCTTGGGGCAAGTAGGAAGGTATAGACATGGAGTTCTCAGGAAGGAGAGAGTGTTAAAGGGACCCTCACTGCAAGGGCCCTGAGCACAGGACTGCCACGTCGGCATGGCCCCCGCCTTACCTCATCACGCCTGGCCTCTCAACCCACCAGGCCCCTGCTTCTCAGAACTTTCCACTGCAGAATGAATGCACACTCGCCACCAGGGCCACTCTGAACATTCTTAGTAGTTGTGTGTTTTCTCTTTGGCCAATTTTGCATTCTGCTCCATGATGTGTGTGGGGTAGTTGCTGTAACGTAAAAATGGCTGAACTTACTTACCAAGTAAAATGAACCCCAGGAAGATGTGGTCCTGTGTGGCCTATGGCTGGTTTCATATACCGCGACACGCCCACTACCACCCAGCTGAAGCTGAGCTGCACTGCAGAAAGCACCAAACAAGCGTGTGTTGGGAGGAAATAGGTCAGCGGCCCTTGAAGGGTGAGTAAGAGTCAGCAGACAGAGAAAAACATTCTAGACTGAGGGACTGGGTTGAGCAAAGGCGGTGAGGAGAGGTGGGTGTGTGTGCCCAGGGGAGATGTGTGCAGACTGCAGCACTTGCTCTACAAAAATCAGCGCAGCCCAAAGCTGGCGTTTCGGTGCTTGCTATGTATCCAGCACTGTCCTAAGTGCCTTTTATCCTCACAGCAATCCTAGAAATTATTATAAACGTTTTATAAAGCAATTTAGAGAGGAAATTCAGGCACAGAAAGGTTAAGTACTTGCCCAGGATCACACAGCATGTGACTGAGGAGAATAAACAGGATTTGATCCCAGAGTCCCGCTCCAGAGCCTGCACTCAAATCATGTGGCATAACACTAGTGAGGTGGCCGAACAAACACAGGTTCTTGAGCCTGAGACAAAGGAGTCTGGACTCATCGGTGGTGATGAGAGTGCCTGAAGGTTTTTGAGCAGGAGAGGGACAGGATAAAAATAATCATTCTGGAGAATCTGTCTGACCAGACTAGACGGGGAAGAAACTGCAGGCAGGAGGGCCAAGTAGGAAGCTATAAAATATTCAAAACATGGGTGCTGAGACCTAGAATAGCAGACAATGCAAAGGACAAAGAGCTAGCTATACGAGAGGTTGCAAAGGAAGCTGGCAAGACCTGCGTTTGGGAAGGAAGGATATGGGGAGGAGCCGGCCACTATGACTCAGGTTTTGAGCTCGGGTGGGTGAGAGAATGCTGGTGCCATGGGCAGAACAAAATGGAAACTGGGAGGGGAAGACAGGCTTGATTTCATGCATGTTTAGTTTGAGATGACGACAGGACATCCAAATGCAAACATCTAGTAGGCAATGGAAACCCAGAGGTCAAGTCCAGCAGCAAGGTCAGAGAAGGGTGTGGAATCCAGGGGACAGAGGGGAATCACCTGCCAGGAGCTGACACTTGAGCCCATGACCATGGACGAGTTCTCTGAGAGAGGAAAGGGAGACAGGGAGAGGGTGCAAAGATAGGACCAAAGATGGCACTTGGGAAAATTCTCTCTAGAAGAAGGTGGAAGAAGGCCAGCAAAGAAGAGGGGAGAGTGTCAGAGTGGCAGGAGAGTCGACGTAGTGTTCGGGATGCTCCCGAGAGCTTCACAAGTGGTAGTGGCTGGTGTGATGGTGCCGAGACGTCAAGGAAGATCTCATTAGGAGGAGGTGGAAAGGTACAGGATGGCTCACCCTAATTCGGTCCCCACATTTCCTGCTTCCCTCTGTCCTTGTTTTGTAATTCTCGCTGGCATCTCAGCTGTCGTAGTATCTACCATGCCACACCCATCAAAGAGGGGCACACTGATTCATTCTTTATTGACTCAGGTGTGGCAGCACTTATCCACCGTCAAACTCTGACAAACTCACTAATAGCGTGAGGGCTTAGGGAGCTAATTTACCCAGAAACTTGAGTATGCAGGGAAAGGAAGGCATTTCTGAATTAGACAATTCTAGAAGTAGATGGAAGCCACAGCAATGCCAGCTTGAGCAAATTTGGGTTAACACCACCTCCAGGACTTAGGGGATCCTCAACATGATTGCTAGTTTTCTCGGCAGGTAGGTCTCCAGTCCATCCACCTGAGTCCTAATCTAGACAACAACTTTGTGCCAGTCAGCACAGGCAAATCAGAGCCCTGGTCCCTAAGCTTCAAGAGCTTTACTGCAGTGCGCGCGAGAGACACAGAGCCCTGGTCCCTAAGCTTCAAGAGCTTTACTGGAGTGCGCGAGAGAGACACAGAGCCCTGGTCCCTAAGCTTCAAGAGCTTTACTGCAGTGCGCGAGAGAGGCAGAAAAGACGTATAGGAGAATTTTAAACACTGCCACAAGACGGGTGTAAAACGGACTCAGGGAACTCAGACTTCCTGAAAACGGCCCTTTAGCTCAGCATTTAAGGATGAGTAGCGGCTTCCACAAGGTGGACAAGGTCCTTGGTAATTCTTGAGTCCTACTTCAGTCCTTTGTCTCTTGAAGGAAGAGGCATTTCCTAGAGACCTCCTATGGGGTGGAAGCCTCCCTCACTTCACCAAGAGGTTCCAATGGCTCCTGTCCTGCGAGTCCCACCTGGATTGCATGCTGTTCTCTCCTTGCAGCTCTCCTCCTCTGCATCCTGTGATAACCTGGTTATATTTTATTATAGCATGTCACATTGCTGCAACAATACATTTCATTGTCTCCACTGCTGGAGGGTATTTTATCCTTGTCACCAGTGTAACTAGCACAGGGATTGCTACATAGTAAGCACTCAAAGCTGAAAGAACCTTCCCACTTCACTCACACCTACTGTTTGATTGGTTGGTCCTGTCCAGCCTGTGAGAACCATTTATGTACCAGTTACGAAGGTCAGGCCTAAACTCCAGTGAAATCTGATCTCCATCTAAGTCACTTCTGGGGGTTGTGTGGCCTTGATGGCAGGAGCCATCTTTTCCTAGAGCCTTCTCGTCAAGGAAGGCATCAAGGCTGTCTGTCAACTTCAGAAGCAGGATCCTGTTCCATTCCTATTTTGAAGCCTGTGCCGCCACTGGGCCAGCCTGCTGAGCGTTTATCTGAGGTCCTCTCACATGAGAGTGGAGACAGTCATCCTATCCAGAGTGTGGAGGAGAATCCAGCCAACTTTTCTACATGCTCTCAAGAGCATGGCCGCCCAGGATCCTACATTACCTCCCACAATACTGGCGTGTAAACTGGTACAATCCCAAAGACACCAATTTGGCATTATTTACCAAAATTACAAATGCACATATCCCTTTCAGTTCCTATGTAGAAATGTATCCTACAGATACTCTTGTATGTATAAAATAACATTATAGCACTGTTTGTAATAGCAAAGACTATAAATAGCCTAAATGTCTCTCAGTAAGGCAACCAGAATGTAAGTTGTAGTAAATGATGGATGCTGTGCTGTGAAAAAGTTTGAGGAAGCTCTTTATGTATTGGTGCAGAATGGGATGACCTGTGAAATATACAGTTAAGTGTAAAAAAGGATTCACAGAACACTGTGCACACTCTGCTATAACTTAGGTTAAAAGGTGTGTATTCACTTGTTTCATGCATACAATATCTCTGAAAAGACACCCAAGAACTTGATACCACCAGTTGCCTTTGAGAGGAAGGTAACTTGGTGGCTTGGAAATAGGAATGAGGGGAAATTTTTCATTGAATAAGACTTTTGAACTTTGAACTATGTAACTATATTACCTATTTAATCAATCAATAAGAAAAAAACTCTCATCCATGTTGATGCACTTATTTAACAAGTATTAAAAATAATAGAAACAATACCACTAGGGTATTGGATTATTGTATCATGCATCGCGATGGCTTTGTGCATATCCCTGCACTCATGATGCTGCACTCTTTTTACTATATTCCTCTGGGAGAAAAGGGTCTTCTACCTGTCTGTATGGTGGAATCCTGGCAGTGGGAAAGTCCAGGACTCATTCCCTCTAGAAGGCCCATCTCCTCTTTTACTAGACCTCTGCCAGGCCCCTGGCACTGCCCTACCCTGGGACAAGAGTCAACTTGTCACAGGGACAGGTTTCACAAGAGTGCAAACATGATGAGTCCAGTATAAAAGTCCAACCAGTTCATTCATTTATTCATCTAACAAATGCAGATGGGGCATCTGTTACTGTGAGTAGTATGTGGAATATATGGCTTGGGTCGCAAACCTTAAAGTTTTTCCAGTCTACCCTTAAATACATGAAAAGTTGCACAACTTCACTCCAAATAAGACTGGCAAATGCTAAAACATTTGGACAGTACACTCTGTTGGCAAGGCTTGGGGGAAACATGCAGGAGTACAGAATGGCACAGCCTCTATGGAGAGGAATTGGTGACACTGATAAGATGACAGCATTTACTTTTGACCCAGCAATCCCACTGCTAGGAATTTACCCTGAAAATTTACTTCCACAAACATAAAACAACATATGCATAAGTGTATTCACTGTGGCATTATTTGTAAAAGCAGAATATTGGAAACACCCTAAATTCTTGTCCACGGATTAAATAAACCCGCCCAAGGGAATACTGTGTAGCCATTTTTAAAAATGAGGAAGATTTCCATTAGCTGATATGGAGTGATTACCAGGACAAATTGTTAAGTATGTAGTATACTACCTTTGTGTAAGAAAGAAGGGGAAATGAGATATATATTCCAAAAAGGGAACACTGGGAAGAATAAACTAGAAACGAATAAAACGGTTACTGTTGGGGGTAGGTAAGAACGGAGTGGATGAGACAGGATAGGAAGGATATTTCTCTAAGTATATTTTCTTATATAGTTTCGGCTCTTGAACCACATAAACATTTTACATATTCAAAAATATATCGAAAGAGATTTTCAAAAATCCTAAAATTGAATATAAACGGTAACAAATCAACCCAACTGTATGTCAAATTAATAATATAACCTCACAGAAAAAGAATATAAGGATTCAAGTAACTTTTGAACACAGTTCATGGACTTCGTAAGAACAAAAGAACCACACACACAAAAAAACTTGAACTTTACTTAGTAGGTTTGTTGTTGATAATGGTATTGGTGTACTAATTCTAAAACTGTTTTGCTGTTTTTGTATTAAAAATAGAAAATAATGAATAAACATATAAATGTTGGGAACCAGAGATTGCACTGTGAAAAAAGGGAGATAAAATATGGAATGGGGGGGAATTCCCTGGCGGTCCAGTGGTTAGGACCCCACGCTTCCACTGCAGGGGACACGGGTTCGATCCCTGGTCGGGGAACTAAGATCCCACAAACCGCGAGGAGG